CCCTTCTCTCCGCATTTCCTGCACAGCTCCGATCTATCAGGGCCTTTGCAGTTTCTCGCCTGGTGACCAAAGTTCATGCACTTAAAGCATCTCTCCATTTGCTTTGTAACCCGAGGGATAGCTTTCAGGGGACATACTGACCACCCAACCTTGACTCGTCCTGTCTTCAGCAACTCGTTAGCTGCGTCCGTCGCAAGTCGTATCTACGCCGTTTGTGTACCACCGTACGCCTTCCTCAACCGGATTGTCATAGGCACATCTCCCAGATTGCCTTGCACCTTGAGCGCACATCGTACCTCGTCTTCCGTTGTGATCTCATCCAGATCCTTGCACTCGACCACTGACACCTGCGATAAGGCTCTTACGTTCGCGTCCTCGCCAAGAGATTTTTCGACGAGTTCCTTGAAGGCTGAACTCCTTACCGACGGGTCCTTCTTCAGCTCGAAGAGCATCTTACCTTTCTGGGTGCGCCTGGTTTTCACCACGTTCTCGCCCAGTTGCTTCAACTCCGGATCCTCTCTCACTTTCCGGAGGAGTGCTGCGTATGTCGTTTTGTCTTTCACCTCGATAACCAGAGCGTCGCCCTTACTTCTCTCCCTACGATGCCTGGAGTTTTCCTTCTTCTTGACTTCCTTCTTCCTCTCTTCCGTCTTCTTCTGTTCCTCTTCATTCTTCTTTTCCTTCTCTTCCTTATTCTTCTGTTCCTTCTTCCTTTGTTCCTCTTCCTTCAGTTTTTTCCTCTTCTCCTTCTGGTTTTCAACTTTACGCCAATCACTGTCTTCTCCATCTTCTTGCTCCTTGTCCCCGTATTCGTCGTCCTTGTGTTTTTGGGGTCCTCTTCGTCTCCTGGCGTTTCCCTATCTCTTTTCTCCGGACGTGGATTCGTTGGTTCTTTCGGCGTCTCCTGCGCTTCAGCCAGCATTGCATTCTCCTTGGCCTCAAGCAGAGCCTTTTCGGCCGCTTCGGCTTTTCTTCTCCATTCTTGCAGTTCCCACAGTTCCTGCCACAGCTATGCCGGATTTGATGACCGTCGCTAGTAGCCTTGTGCATGTTGTTCTTATCCTTCACGAACACATAGAGTTCATCGATCTTCCTCCTAACCTCCGTCATTTTGGTTCTCCCAAGCTGCAATTCTTGCTGTTTGCCACTGCTGGATTTCGGTGTGAATATTTGGCATGGCACCGCACCTAGCTGCTCTCCTTGGGGTCCATGCTGTTCCACTTCGGGTATGCTACTTCTGGAACTCACTGTGGTCGCCTGGTTTGACGCTGGTGATCTCTGCAGCTTTCCGCTTCTTGCAAACACGTTCGCTCCTCCGTTTTCACTATCTGGCGTCTTGCCGTCGTCCTTCATATTTTTTTTGGTTTTTTCATTTTCGTCTTTTATGTTTTTTTCTCCATTCTGATGGGTCCCCCCTCCGGGCCGCTATCTCCACTCGTTGTATGTAGTCTCCTATCGTGATCCCATGGTTATCTATGCAAGCAGGGAGGCCATGCTAGGGTTGACACGATCCTTCATGGGGGCCGTGTTCAGAGCCAGATCGGCGTAAGTCAGGAATGTTACATCTGAGCCTACTACTCACCAACCACCAATTGGTGACGAGTTTTGAACGTATCCGGAGGCCTGCCAAGGTTTTACCGGGACGGGGGCAGCCACACTATTAGCCCACTCGCCATTTCAAGAAGGTGTCACCCTTCTTTACTCAGGGAGCAGAATAGCACGACTGTCAGCCCTGTAGCGTGGTATCCAATCCATTGTGCCGTGTCGTGTCCATAGTTCCATGCCGTGTCCAGTATGCCGTAATAAGGATCTTACTGGCGTCGATCCTAATGTGCCGGTTGGCACTCCTGCGGGTTGACGAAGCATTTCCTCTATCGCCGTGCTATGGTTACCGCGCCAGAGTTCGCGTCGCACCCCCTCACTTTGCTATTGTCGGAAGGACAACATTGCCCAGGCTACACCACGGGGAGGTGTGAGGTAGGAACTTGTGAGGACCAGAGCTAGATCAACTCACCGTTTGTAGCCCAATGTGTGTGTGTGTGTGTGTGTGTGTGTGTGTGCGTGTGTAACTCCCACTGGCCGGCAGTGTTATTATGGAAGAACTCTCTCTTCAATGTCGCATTTATGGTCATTGTAGACACACAGAGAAAAAAACAATACCCTAAATTTAAGTTCTTTTTACTTAATTTTAGGTAATTCTGAGTTTTGCATCCCACTCTCACTTTTTGTTGTTGTCAAAAACGGAACGAGAGATTCGACTTTCTCATGACTATCGTTCAATAAGCTACTATAGTGAGTATATGAGATAATCTCAAATTGGAGTAAATTGAACTTAATTTTGGGTAGAAAATACTCAAGAGTAAGTAATTATTTTTGCCGTAGTCAAATGTAAACTACTATAAGCGGTTTACTGAAAATTAGCTTATTGAACGGAACATGGGAGATGAGTGAAAAGAACTTAATTTTGGGTAATTTTTCGGTTCCGTGCAGCTTTAGTCCGGGAGTTAGAAGGCGATAGTTCTATTGCAGATCCAGCAACCCATTTCAGAATGTCTGGAGAGTCACGCCCATTCCGAGGTTACTTTCACCCACAATATGCCCCGCATGTATGCATCACCGTTATCAAATGGATATTGGTGATACATACACACTTCCAGGTTCGAAAATATTCTTTTCTAACATGTATTTAGTTTAATTTTGATATTTTATTTGTAAACAAAAATGTGGACAGCTCTCACCATATTCTGCTCTTCCGCCGCCGTTAATTGCTTCCTTTGGAATCCCTTGGACTTTTTCTCTAACGCTTCGTATTTCATTCCGTGCTTCACCGGCAATTTCCTTCCGTAGATCGTCCTTGGTTTATTGGTTCTAATATGATTCCGCCTTTTTTTGGTCGGTTTGATGTCCACCATATGTTATTGAATTGCCATGGTGATCTGGGACGAGGCTCACGTCCGAAGTCGCTGGTCCACCGAGCGCTCCGTGTGCGAAAGGAGAATGAAAGAAATACGAAAGGGATCAGTTTCAAGAAGTGACAGTTTCATCAGATTCCCCAACTAACTATACTCAAGCAAAGTAAGAATTGGCGTTGACGGCACCGTCGAAAAATGTTTTGATTTTATCCTAACGTTACCTCAATGTTATATCACAGACAAGCAGATTGGTGTACTCTACGTTGGTGGTGCATTCAAAAGGCCTATTGATGTATACCTTCAGAATAGTACCTATTTATCCTATGGGGGCGACCCCGGCGTAGTGGTTAACATCCTTACCTCTCACGCTAAAGTCACGAGTTCAAATCTCACCCCCGGACAAGTCACGAATGACCCAACAGTGTTAATGTGACTATAATAAAAAAAACTATTTATCCTGAAGGCATGAACAATATATCCTGAGGATTTAATAAAGATCTCTGATGGCCTTTGGAATAATTTCTGAGCAATCTGGTATCATAAGAGAATACATGAGAGACGCGATTTGAATTATTGGAAAGTAGAAAATCTTCAGAATATTTGATGAAGTTTTTGTAGATCTCTAATCACCTGAAGATTTTATGAAAAATTATGATTCATCTGGTTTCTTGAGTGATGTCTATGAGGTAATGCAAATTTATTTGCTCGATTAATTTGTCGACTCTGAACAATATACAGTGAGATTTCGTTTCGTCATCTCGTTTTCCCCTGGCCACAGAGAACAGACTTTGAGGCTCGAACTAAATTTCTGTAAAAACTTGTGTAAAGATTCTTATTTGACTTACGCGCCACCAACGCCGACTTCCTCACTTAAAAATCCTCTTTAACACCATGATGGCACTGGCGTTGCACAACTTACACTAGACACTAAGTGCCGGTAGCGCCAAGTGGTAATTTTGAACCGAAAATTTATCGATACTTGCGTCAAATTGGTCGAAAGTGGAAAATTTATAGAGGAAATCAGGAGGTGCTAGCGCTACGTAACGGCGACGTTCCCACTTATCTTTACACAAGTTTCTGGTGGAAGTTGGACGTCTGTTCTCTGTATTTTAAGTATAGAAAGCTAACGTTAAATCCGATTGAATTTTCAGTTAATTCATATTAAAATAGTTAGAGCCACACTCCGTGTTTTCACTAAAGGCGCACCCGAGTGCGCTTCCTAGTGAATATTCAATTAAAACTAGATAAACAATTCAAAAGGTCCTATCTGCATTGATCGATTCTCTTCATCGACTTTCTCTTTCGTCAATAGCTCAGCTGCAAAACTTTCCCCTGTTGTATTTAACATTTTGGACGCTAGATAAGTACCTTCTTTATCAAACTATGTGGTAGAATTAGCGCGAAATCTGTTTGCATAGTAGTGGTTATGAAAAGAGAAAGCCGATGAAGAGAATCGATCAAAGCAGATAGGACCATTTGAAATGTTCATCGAGAAAACACTCAAAGGTGAGATTTTTTTTGAAGTTTGACCTGATACTGGCACAGACAAAGACATACACATTGATTATTACCATCGTCGTTAAAACACTACTGCCATTTGTTGAATACACTGTCACTGGTAGCACGCTCAACAGATGGCGGTAGTGTGTAAACGCAAGGGAATTGACTATTAACGCCACAGGTGGTGGAACTGCTAACTAAGAAACATTTAAATTGACCGTTAAATGCGTGTTCGATGAAGAACATGCGAATGTCATGTCTGAAGTATGTTTGTCTTTCATTCTAGCATTAAGGACAAGGTTGATAGAATCCAGAATTGGCCGTTAGCATGGCTGATTTGATTTTTAAAATCTGCCATTGATAGTGGCCATTAAATATATCTATTTTGAAGTGGATTAACAGAAAATATGATTTAACTTAACGTTAAATCCTGTTTTTAAGGAATTCGTTGTGCAGATTTTAACGACATAAATAAATAGGTATTCTTTCAAAACGATTGCATAAATGTTTGAGAAAAGAAAATAAAAATCAAGGAGCTGATTATGATCTACCCGTAATTTAGCGAAATTTCGAAGCACAAACTCCCACTTTCTAAGCAGATACACAAAACGAATAATTTATTTCCAAGTTTAGTTTTAAACACTTCACTATCATGTTTTTATCAGAGGTCTTATATGCAGAAGTGCAATATGAATGTATCGATCGTTTCCATATGTTGCTAGTTGTTGATCTACTCGCATTGTTATTGTTGAATGTAAGGAACCGAAGTTTACTTTCCCTACGTTGATAATGGTAGAAACATTTGCGAGTAGAATATCATATTCAAGTAGAGAAGAATAGCAATGACCGTGGCTATTTTATCGTATCACTTTTTCTTGGCATCCTTCAGGCCAGCACCGGCGTTAAACTTGAAAAAGATGATGTCACCATCTTCGACAAGGTAGTTCCGGCCCTGCTGTCGGTACTTTCCGGCAGCCTTGGCACCCACTTCACTACCTTCCTCCTTGAAATCGACGTAATGCATGACTTCAGCCATAATGAAACCCTTCTCGAAGTCGGTATGGATACGACCGGCTGCCTGTGGGGCTTTGGTTCCCTTCTGGATAGTCCAGGCCTTAACCTCATCCACCCCAGCGGTGAAGAAGTACTCCAACTGCAAAGCCTTGTAACCGGTGGTAATGATCCGGTCCAGCATTGATGTGCACTTGGTTTCCTCCTCGTAGGCCTTGCGATCGGCGTCGGATTCCATGTCGGCCAGTTTATGTTCGAACAAGCCTGAGAATGGGATCAGTGGCGCTCCGGGATCGTGTTTGTCGATCCATTCCTTGATTTTCGGTAGCCATTTGTTCTTCTTGCGGATAAAGTCCTTCTCCGACAGGTTCACCAGATAGATGCCCGGTTTGGACGTCAGGAATAGATATTTGTTCAGAACTTCAATGTCATGCATGCTCCAGTCAGCGAACCGGATGTGCTTCTTCTGATCCACTAGCACTTCCTTGACTTTGAGTAGTGTTTCCTGGAAGCAGAAGAACACAAGGTGTTTGATTATAATTAGATTATATTTTATAAAATAGCTTTGGCTAGATTATCAGTTGACTAGCCTTCAATAACTGAAGGATTTAAGCAAATCTTCTATCTCTTGGCCTAAACGATAGCCCAGATCCACAGCTTCCCGCAGAAGTAATTAAATTATATATGCTGAAACAATTTCTCAGTATTTATGGAACAAGGTGTCGTAAGATACCTATTCGTTTTTTTCGTTTGCTAAGCGCACCTTTTCTGATAACGAACCGAATTTTACATAAACTGCCTGTATGAAAAAGTGATTTAGATTGTCTCACATAATGTGGCACCAGTTTTGTTCAGTCGGTCGCTCGCTCGCATGAAAGTGTTATAAACGCAGTTCGCCTATCGTTTATAAATCTGCTATGAACAAGACCTTAAGTGGATAATGCTTCCTGTTCGATCGCTTCGATTATGTCCACCCGTACAGCACATAGATAGATCAGGAAGCACCCATCTGGATCTGGATCTTCCATCCCATGTTCTTCTTCCTGGAGGGTCATGCTTGGCTTGGAAAAACCGAGCTTATTATAATAATCATATCCGAACGATACTGCCCACGGTAATCAAAAGTATGCTCGATTTATGAAACTGCTTAATAACAATAATAATGCTGGCAGCTATAGCCGACACGGGAGAACCACGCCACTTTGCAAAGATCACAATCGATAGCAGCGTTCATATCTATAAAGATGTAAATTTCACCACCAAGCAGCCTGCCATCAGCGCCCCCATAATAATGGTTACACGAACTCTGGTTACGCCGGTTACGCGGAAAAAAGGCAATGTGATAAAAGTCACCCTGCAGGTGTTGTTGTTGTTGTTGTTGTTGTTTGCAGTGCACGGTATCCTATGCGGTTATTTCCGTTTAAGCATCTGCGCATTCGCTTTTCCGATTGAAAGATCGGCGAGCATTTCGTTAATCAGATTTTCTCTCTTCTGATTGGAGTTGGTCAAACATAGTATGGCAATGTATAATCTAGACTAGAAATTTTTCTATTCATTGATAAATCAGATAATAAAAATTCTGTTGAAGAACGTGGGCATTAGGATGGCCCAAGTGTACGGTATCCTATGTGGTATTATTTCCGTTTAAGCATCTGCGCATTCGCTTTTCCGATTGAAAGATCGGCGAGCATTTCGTTAATCGGATTTTCTCTCTTCAGATTGAAGTTGGTCAAACATAGTATGGCAATGTATAATCTAGACTAGAAATTTTTCTATTCATTGATAAATCAGATAATAAAAATTCTGTTGAAGAACGTGGGCATTAGGATGGCCCCACCTTGTCTGGAAACCAGAGAGCTCACCCTCCAAATGATAGCCAAGGATGTTACAGTCTGATAAACCTGATAGAGGTAGGCCGGATGAGATTTTTGAAAAAAGTCGATTTTTCATAGCCATAGCTGAACAAATATTCCTAATGCATTGACATTTAGTGGAACACAACCCTTTTATATGTTTTACACATTGCTTCCATATGAGAAAACAATTGTCAGGGCCTGCTAGATGATACATTTTGACATATTTTTTTTTTTCAATCGCAGAAATCTAGATTTTTTAGTTGCATAATGAGTATCAAAATAAAACCTATACTAACTAATAAATGGTGAATTGTATGACAAACCCGTTTGCCGAAGAGGATATACGCTATCGTTATTTAGTTATTCATGATTTTCACATTACAGCTTATGTCACGTAATATAGGCTGTCTTGCAATGAGCACTCATACATAGGATTTCCAGTGAAAACTAGATGTATGAGTGCTCATAGCAAGACAGCGTATATCACGTGATATACGCTGTAATGTGAACGGGTTATAAGCACCCAAACTACCTTTTGATGCATGATAGTGGTATATCCACCGACAAACCAACATGACACTTAATTCTGACTTATGCCCGAAAATCGTAAACGGCCTATTTAAATGTGTAGTAATCCGAACTGTCAAAACCATAGTATTTTTTGATCTAGATAAAAATAATTTGTCCAGAATAGATCAGACACGAACAAATTCATAACTTGCATGCGGGTTCATGGCTTAGCTAAATGTTTCCCGCGAACACGGAGCCAGATGTCAGTAGTGTGCTTTGACTAGACATTTTATTGGTTTTGCTATAGTCATTCATGTCGGGAATTTTGAAATCTAATTTAGGAACGTTCGCCTCTAGATGGAGATCGGAAATTCTTGTATCGAAAGGACGATAAAGTACCATTCTTAGCATTCTATTCTGAGCGACCTGGATTTTGTTCCTGTGAGTCTTTGCACATGATTCCCACACCGGAGCTGCGTAGAGGATTGTAGGTGCAGGTGCTATGATTTGTTTGTAGACAACCAGTTTGTTCACCCTTAAGAGGCGGGATCTGCGGCAAATCAGCGGATACACACTCCTAACCAAGGCAGAACACTTGACTACGGTTTTCTCTACATGCGAACGGAAGAGGAGTTTTTCATCGAACAACATCCCGAGATAAGTTACTTCGGTAGACCACTCAACCCTTGTGCCATCCATGATTACAGTACAAGATGGAGCTGGTTTCAGTTTAGGCGATTGCCGATGGAGGAACATGATCGTTTGAGTTTTGGAGGCATTGATTTTGATTTTCCACGTGGTGGCATAATCAGCAAAGGCGTTAAGACATCGTTGAAGTTTGTTCGTTATTTCGCGAGGCATCCTTTCTTTAACGGCTATTGCGGTATCATCTGCGAACAGGAAAAACACGCAACACCGAGGGGAGGAATGTCGGAAGTGTAAAGGCTGTAAAGCAAGGGGCCCGGAAGACTGCCTTGCGGGACTCCTGCTGGGATGGAAAACGTGTCTGAAAGACAACCATTCAACGATACCTTAAACGACCTTTGCTGGAGGTAGTTACGGGTGATTTTAACCAAATGTAATGGAAAGTTGAAGTTACAAAGCTTGTATACAACCCCATTGTGCCAGACATTATCAAACGCTTTCTCAACGTCTAACAAGGCCATGGCTGTGGACTTGGATACAGCTTTGTTACTTCGGATGTTATTCATCACCCGTACTAGCTAGTGATTGGTGGAGTGTCCCTTTCTGAATCCAAACTGTTCCGGAAGGAGAATGTTATTTTCCTCGACAAGATTGAGAATGAGTTTCTCGAACAATTTGCTCAGCGCTGAAAGGAGGCTGATTGGTCTGTAGCTTGAAGACAATGTTGGATCCTTACCGTATTTGCGGATTGGAATGGTTTCTGCTACCTTCCAGATGCTTGGGAAGTAGTGCAGTTCCAAGCATCTGTTGAAGATAGCGGTTATAAGAGACTGCACTTTCATGCTGAGTCTCTTCAAGATCAAGTTGAATATACCGTCAAACCCGGGAGCCTTCATGTTCTTGCTGCATTTCAGCGCTCAGCAAATCTGTTGTACTGTAGTCGTATCCACCGGAGGCACGACACAAGGGGAGGCATCTAGGTTTTGAACACCTTGCGCAACCTGATCATCGAGCGGACTTTGGATAGTCGAGCCAAGCAAATGCGATGAAGCGATCGCATTTGCTTTCTCCTGTGGGGTGATTAAAAGCCGATCGTCATCATTTTCGACTCTGAGAGGTGGAACGGGTTTGGGATGAGTTTTCAGGACCTTCAGGAGATTCTGAACAACACGCCCGAAACTTCCATTTCGGAGTGAGTCCATTCTGGAAGCAATCTGCCTGTTCACGTTTTATTTTGCCCAGATCACCAGTCCTCTGAAACTGGCGTCTACGAATATTTCTCAACCGAATCAGTAATTGTCAATAGCAACAAACTCACCCCTTACAGGAACTTGTCGAACGTATGCCTCGTCAGCCATGGATATGGCCTGTTGGAATCCATCCAACGTCCGGTCAAAGTCGTCTACGGTGTCGAGCGGTGAATTTTCATCGATGTTGCTGTCCACCATTTGTCCGTACTGCACCCAGTTGACATGGAGGTAGTCTTTACGCAGGCAGCTTCCACATTGACACCGATTTCAGTCACCACGGGTTGGTGGTCGGAGATCGTTGTGCGCCTCCGGTTTGGATAGTCCGATGTTGGACAGGAAAAGTCCAGGGTGGAGGGATTTCCCGCCGGAGAGATGAAAGTTGGATCGTCCGGTTGTGCGTGGTCGAACAATAGACATCCGTTCCGGTTCCGCTGGTAGTTCCGCCAAGCTTCATGGCGGGCATTCAGGTCACCCCAAGGATGAATCGCGAGCTAGTACGGGTGATGGCAGGTCGTTCTTGAATTGAATTCCTAGTCAGTTGCTTGCAGTACACTGGCGTGGGCAGTAAACAACGATAAACCGTACGTTTCCAGTTGGTGATTCCACCTCCACACTAATGGCCTCGATGATAGAAGTGCGGATGTGCTGCTGGAGCTGGTGCGATCAAGCCGGATAATGTTGTGGTCAGGCAACCAGAAGCTGTCACCGGACTTTAGGTGGGTCTCGGTTAGAAGACCCACTTCGATGCTGTGCTTGCGAAGGAAGTCGGCAAGCTCAATCTGTTTAGCTTTTACAGAGCAAGCGTTCCAGGTAGCGATGGTTAGCGGTTTAGACACCATACTGGATGATGAACTTACCGAGCACTTGGATCTGTTCGGGCTTATTGCGGCACTTACGTAGAGCACCGGTCATGTTGACGAAAATTTCCATCAGTTCATCCGCTGAAAACAGATCTGGATTATTTGTTTGAGCTGTTGGTTGCCTCCAGAATCCAGGGGGGATGGAGAGCTTTGTCCAGCAGAAGATCCAGACGTTTCTTGGAGGGGGGGCGCGGATCGCACCCTTGGATTCGCTTGTCCGTGAAGAGGCGGCAAGTCCTCCTCCCTGAAAGCTGGAGCCTTATCCTTCGCCCTGGTTGATTGTTGGTGGACGCCTGTTTTCGGATGCGCTTGAAATCCTCGCGTTTAGGGTACTGCTTGTCGGATCCTTTGTGATCATCACCACAGTTGGCACATTTGATTCACAGATTAATCCGCAGCACATTCGGAAGTGGCGTGGTTTTGAGCGTAATTGCCACAGCGTGGCTTAATGTTGCAGTTTCGGGTGCCGTGTCCAAAATTCAGACACCGTTGGCACTGAGTCACATCGCGATGGCCGCCCCGATATGATGGCGGATGGTTTTCAGCGCGTTGAGCGTCACAGTTCTCTTCTGGGTGTGTACCAGGAAAAGGCAATCCGGATACGCCTTCACATTTTCGTCCTTCCTTGTCATCCGATAGACGGCGCTTGGGGCTAGCTTGTACCTGTTCCTGATTTCATGTTCTATAAACTTCGGGTCGAAGTTTGGTAGGCCCCTGATGACGACCTTGAACGGTTTCTCACCGGGAATTTCGTGGGTGAAGAATTCCACCTTGGAAGTCCTCAGGTGGGTGATGACCAAGTCATACTCCGCTTTCGTACGGAGCACAACCTTGGTACCGACTCTGCCCAACTTGAATTCGGCTTTGACGCCAGATCCACGATGAGCTCGTTAAGATGGGCATTTTTCACTACCAGCAGGGGTAGCTTCACTCTTGCCACGGTCATGTCGTCAGCATTTTCTTTTTCGGCAGCGTCACCGAAATCTCCGTTCGTCGCAGAGGCATCGTCGCGACCAATCGTGCCATCGGACTGGCCTCGAGTTTTCTTCCTCTTCTTGCTGCGTTTTTTCGTCACAGCTGGCTGGATATTCCCATCCATGGGGAGAACAACAAACCTGTTGGATGTAGGTACACCCGAGCTTCCTTCACCGGGATTCTTGTCCTTCACCGGGCTTCGCGAGCGATGCTTCCCCATTTAGGGGCACGCACACCAAAAAAACCGCGAAAGAGAGAGCGCACACTATCGCCACAAACTTTTCGAACAACTCGAGAGAGCGAGCTAACACCGAACTGAACTGCTTGACGATCAAGCAGAGAATCTGTGTCATCACGTTCACTGAGGTACTTGCAGTGTTTTATACTTGCAGAATAGCTAATTAGGCCTCGCCCTTTGGGAGCATTTTTTGTTAGAGCGTTCCTAGTTGCAAGTATATGGCAGCATTGACACCAAACCAAGACGTGCTCCGACCAGCATTGAATTGGATTGTTGTAAAAGAACAACTAGCGCTACTTGACCCTTTCACACCAGTGCAAATCGATGCCGACCGGATGACGGCGGCCCAGTCATGCTGCCTATTGCGTGAAGCCTTTCCTCCGGTCGATTTGGGTGCATTCGTCGTTGTCTTCGTATTGGTGCAATGCGTGCTGTCCGACGCTTATCCGTCCGTTGCTCGAAAGTAAATGACGAAGAAAACTATTTGGCAAGCTTTTTTATTACCACTGCTTTTCTCCTCCCCTTTATTCATTGGTGAAATGGTGAGCGGTCAACCGATTTCCGTTCTATCGTTACGTCCGTGTTTGGGATTTTTCGTTACATGTCTGAATTTTGATTTTTTTAATGTGACAGCCAGTATAGAAATTAAAGACGTAGTCCTTAGTCAAAAAAACTGTTTTCGCTAAAAGCTTTTCCAAGTGGGATTCAACATCGAGCGTTCAGAATATAGAACGCATGGTTGGATTCTTAAGTGTTTTCTCTTAATAAAATTTAATTAATGATGCATCCAAATTTATGTTATACAAGTACTTAGATTGCCGGCGCCGGTGGTGTAGTGGTAAGCGTGACTGCTTTCTAACACCCCGATGGGTCTGGGTTCAATCCCAGCCGAGGTCGGTGGGATTTTTCTGAGGCATAAAAATCTCTGGTCACGTCTTCCTTCGGAAGGGAAGTAAAGCCGTTGGTCCCGGCCCATGTGTGTTGAATGGGTGCGATATCCTACGCAGGTGTGGAAGATGCCATCCTGCACATTCGATTGCCGTCAATGGATGGCAATCGATGTCCGTCGGTGATTGGCATTAGATTGCGGAACAGAGGCCGACGTTAAATAAAGGAAAGAAGAAGTACTTAGATGTTCAGTCTACACGACTATGAGAAGACATAATTTTTAAATAGCAAAATTGTTTTCATTCGGATCCGACTTCGTTAAGATCTTCTTAACCGTTTAGAATATGCACTTTAACATGGCACTATCCACCCTGTGTAAAGAAACCAAAAAACAATCAATTCATCCAAAATGATAAGCATTCTTAATCCATTTCTCTACTATATATCAGACTGTGCTTTATTGCAAGTGACGGAAGAAGCTTGTAAGAGGAAAAAATCAATGTAATAAAACATGATTAATACACCTTCAATTTTAAGCTGTGATTATTTATGAAAGTTCATTCTGACGATGTAGGTACTTTCAAAATCTAAAATCATCATTCATTCACGCCTCTTACCCCCGACACTATATCGCCTGATCGCGTGAAAAATAATGTTAGCTACACCGTGTAGCTCAAGAAATACACTCAAATGACTCAATTCTTGGCGCACCCAACGATTAGGAGAAAGGTCCATCATTCGTCAGCTGGAAATTTCTCCCATTAATCATTCATGACTAATAATAGCACGCTCCACAGAAGAGGGCGATACATCGTTCTTCTCCAAAAGTCGCTTCCTGGTATAGTGCAGGATAGGGGTCAAAATGTCAGCGTGATTGTCAAAAAATTGAAAACCCTGATTTCTCTTTGCGTTAGCCGATAAACGGAAATAAATTGAATTTCAATCAGGAGATATTTAACTTTTGATTAGAGGTGTTTATTGAATTAGACCACCCACCTGATCGTTTTCCGACAGTCATCTACAGCTAATCATAGGATTGGCTGGTGGTAATGTGTAGTGTATTTGCAGCTACAAAGTGATTGTGCGTCAATCTCCGAGGAGATCCGTCGTTCGTAAAAAGCCACACAATGAGCTTATTATGAACTACAAGCACGGGTAACATAAGTCTTGCTCACGCCATCATCATCGACACCACCGGCCGTATAGATAGGTATGTACGTACCAACAACGTGGTGTTAAAAAGACGCGGGATATCTATTTCCATTCATGCTGCGTCTTGGCGCAAGCTGACAACATTCACAGCTCGTATATCTCGGCATCACGTGGTTCGGTGATTTATTGAATGAGTTTGCCTTTCATCTGGTTATGACAGCGACGATTGGGAATTACAGAAGAGGCGTTTAATTGAACTACATAATAGGACGAATCCTCCCGCATAAGCGAGGGAGGAGCACTTTCAGTTTCAAATTGATATTGCTTTTGTAAATGTTCGTATAATGACAAAGTCAAATATTCCAGGTTATTGAGAAAAAAAGAATGGACTTACATATTCAGGCTTGATCTTCTTATCGCCACCACGAACTACGAGCTTTTCCACCTTATCCAAACTGATCAACAGTTTTTCCTCGTCCTTCAAACGCAGCTCCTCGGAAATGATGGACAGATCACGAACTGGATCTACCTCGCCTTCGACGTGCGTCACATCCGGATCTTCGAATGCACCTAGGAGATAAAAAAGGTGAAGATAGAGCAAATGCAAATTGTAAACCTTGTAGAAATGGACCGTAACGGCTATAATAACGCTGAAAATAAGATCAAATTTAAATAAAAGCAAAAAGGTTTCAAATCCACGCTCAAGATCAAAGACCACTCGAGCCGCCAACGCCATTTCTCTCCTTATGTAGAGCCCCCATTTGATACCGAAACCCATGCCTCGGAGGTAAAAATGTAATCAATTTGAAACGATGTAAAATTTTTGCTTTTTCTCTCGCTGAAATTACTATCATCAGTGACCAATGGCAGCCCCGGCGGCGATTTTTGCCTAAGTAGAAGGAAAACAAAGCGAATTTACACGGCGAGAGAAATAGAGACAGAGAAAGCAAAAAAAGCGACACACGTAAAAAGCGTGGGTCCCGCGGGTCGACCGGAACCGATAATGGCTGTGGGAACGTGCCGTTTTTATGGTCCATTGAACGAGCGCGGTATCCGAACCGAAATCTGCAAATCAAACAAGCCATCCTCCTTCCTCGTTCGCGAAGCCTCTCCTCAGACAGGCGGGCTGTGATTTTCACGTTGTAAAAGCGTTGCAAATGGAAATTTTATTCAACTGAGGTACAATGGTAGACTTGGAGTTGGTTCCGTTTATCCCGGTTCAGTCCGAATGATTTGAGAAACTTTATTGTTGGACAATTTACCGTAATTGTATCTTGGACAGGTTTCCAGTTATAGTGCCATATAATCAACAAAAACAAACATTGAACAAACTTAGAAATTAACCATGTTACCATGCTTCTACGACAATTTTCCTTCAAATGACGGAAATAACGCGTACACTTAGTTCCGTTAATTAATAACAGAGGGCAGTGCGGTCATAACATGTTTAGTACCTCTATACATATGCAGTTACAGGGCTGTTACAAGATCTTCATAATTTGATCCACGAAATCCGCGATTTCTCAAAAGAAATCCGCGACTTCAAATACTAATCCGCAACAGATACAAAACTGTTTTCATTGCTTAAAAATACCATTTGTATTACTACTAAATGGCATTCCAAGCTTATTGCTTATAGCATATTAGCTGTTTGCTTGCTCCCAACTTAGTGTTTTTGAGCGCTTCCACATTTTAATTAAGAGCTTTCTATACCTGTACATAGTGCTGTTAAATTTCATATCATTCGATTGAAGATGAACCAGTACAACCATTCAATCAATTCTGTGAAAACGAATTCTCAAATGACCATATTTTGAAGAGCCCCTTTCTCATTCGAATTGTCACTCACTGTCAATTGAGTCACTCACTATCATTTGATATACGACAGCGGAGTATGGAAGAAACCCAGAAAAAATGGTCACGAACAGACACGTTAACCCGATGTCGGATCAATGGAAGGCAAATCTAAGGTCGATGTCGGTGCAATGTCTTGTTGTTGTTGGGTCAATTTTGCGTTTATGTCGGGTCAACTTAGGCTTGGGGTTTGGTAGTCGGGTTGGTGTCGGGTTGACTTGACTTTTTCGCCGAAATGTCGCCCAGAGCTCCGTTTATGTGTAGGTTACACTCAATTGAATGATATCAAGCGTTTCTCAAATGAGAATGATCCATACCTTCGTCAAATGACTAAGCAACTGATATCAGCCATTCGAAGGAGGTCCCCTTTGGTAGCAAATAGCTGCTTTTCTCATTTTCATCAAAAATTTACAATTGATTTTTAGAATCTACGGCACTGCCTGTACAATCCTATACCCCAGGAAGTCGAGAAATTTGCCACCACGAAAAATTAGTAGAGCGGATGGGAATCGACCCGAGCACGTAGCAGCGCCTTTACCGACTGAGCTAATGGAGTATCGTTTGTACCATTTGAAAAAAGTATAACAAAAATAACAACAATGTATCGTCTTCAGTTATTAGCCAAACAAGCCCCTCCCCGTAAACTGTCTACGTTGTTAATGAACAGCCCCTTATCACAGAGAACAGACATTGAGGCTCGAACAAAATTTCTCTAAAAACTTGTGTAAAGATTCCTATTTGACTTAAGCGCCACTAACGACGACTTCCCCACTTAAAAACCCTCTTTAACAACATGATGGTGCTGGCGTTGCAAAACTTACACTAGACGCTAAGTGCTGGTAGCGCCAAGTGGCAATTTTCAACAGATAATTTATAGATACTTGCGCCAAATTGGTCGAAAGTGATAAATTTATAGAGGAAATCAGGAGATGCTAGCGCTACGTAACGGCGACGTTTCCACTTAACTTTACAAAAGTTTCTGACCGAGCTTGGATGTCTGTGATAATACTGAAAATAATTCTTCTTCGGAGTACTTCAAAAGAATTTTGAGGAAATTTTTAAAGTAATTCCAACCAAAATTTCAAGAAAATTGATTTCTGAATTTCCGACTATAGCTCTAACGAAATTTTGGTGAATGCTGGAATGCTGAGGATTATTCTAAGGATATTCCGGTGATAATTTTTAGAAAATTTAAAAGGGATTTCCAAGGAAAATATGAGGAGCATTTCAAAGAATTAAAGGCAATTCTGAGCAGAATTAAAAAGAAATTTCTCTGCTAATTCCATGGAAATTTCTGGAGAATACTAAGTGCATGCTGAGGAAAACTTCATGTGATTTTTTCAGAAGTATTTTTCAGGGAATTTGTAGAATTATTAATAATGTGAGGAGCATCGCAGAGTGAATTCATAGTGTTGCGAACTGGGTACACTGCCTCAGCGTCAAAATTACAGCGCCAGAATGATCAACGCTGGTGAAGACGAGAACTGGCTGAGAGGAGATTCCGACTACTCTGCCCATAATCGCAAGTCAGTCCCATCTGTAGAAATCTGGAAATGAGAAAACGGCGTTCAAAGATTTTACAAGTTTTCTGATTTGACACTTATTTTTGGAGGGATGAATTTAAAAATAAACGTACAATGCGATAGAATGCATCTATGTTTACCAAAACATATCGGAAAAATTTCGTGAAATTTTTATTTTATGGCCAAAATCTGAGTGGGACTTACTTGCGATTATATTCAACGTCAATGAGAAAAATAACCGCAAGTCAGTCACAATTCCATGACGATGTTGCATTAGTTTAGCACAGTATTGAACTGTAGAAAGATACCATGGTCCCATAGAACGTTTTTGAATGTTTCTGGATTTGTTCCGCTGGTTCCAGAGCAATGGCCGGAACATATTCCGTTGAGTATGGGTCTTCATCAGACCAGAGGTTTTCATATACGTGCGATAAATCAATTCACATGAGAATTCAAAAATAAGATCAATAAGAGTCATGATGAGTGACCAGCATCATGTTGGCCATACCCGGACTTGTTCCGGGTATCCCCGGGGAAGTGTTAAGTCCTTTTTAAATCAAAATCCATCAAGCGATATATCAAATAACATGAGAAACTTTCAAACTGAGTATCGTAAGAACTATATTGGCCACATCCGGACATGTTCCAGATACCTTAGGGGAAGTGGACAAAATCTGTCTCGAGACAAATCTCATGATGCGATGTGTTGTCTAACATTTTAACATATGTTTTTCTAATGGGACTGACTTGCGGTTACTTTTCGCTGTGGGACAATTTGACTTGGTATTGTTTTTCATTTTTCTTGAACAAACCACCTTTTATCAATAGCACATCTCAAAAACCATAGAACGATGAACTGAATAATGATGCTAACTCAAAATTGATAAAAATGCAGATGGGACTGACTTGCGATTACCGGCAGTACAGTTGTCAAAAGTTTGCTGGATATTGGCAAATCAAAGTTGCCTCGCGTGGAGAATAGAAAAACTATGATAGTGATGATGATGATACAAAATTTTCCACGGTGAGGTAAACGATTGCGATTTTAAAATGGTTTTATTTTGTAAATGGAGCATTTTTGTAATCTGGTTGCTGCTACAGTTGTAGAAAAGCTGAAATCTATGTATACAACTAAAAATAAGAAAATAAATATTTTTTCTTTATTATATGTCTGTTAAGTAGCCCTTAAGTTTTCTACTAACATAGCATTAACCTGATTTTATTAAAATAATTTGCCCATAAAATAAATGCATTTTAAGATTGCACACAGAGAGCAGACGTTGAAGCTCGAACAAAATTTCTCTAAAAACTAGTGTATAGATTCCTCACAGACATAACTCAATGAATATTTCTCATTGTAAAGCATTGTCGCTAAAATATTACCACTATCCGTTGAGTATACTGTGCTGCGTAGTACGGTGAACGGATGGCGGTAGTGTGTAAACGTCAAACGCAAGGGAATTGTCTATGCGCGCCACAGGTTGTGGTACTACCAACTACGATACTTTTAAATTGACAACATCTTTGACAACCTGATGGCCCTAAGTGATGGTAACGCCAAGTGGCAATTTTCAACAGTAAATGTATTAGCGCCAAATTGGTCGAAAGTGGAAAATTTATAGAGGAAATCAGGAGATGCTAGCGCCACGTAACGGCGATGTTCCCACTTATCTTTACACAAGTTTCTGACCACAGGAGTGGCTCCAGAAAGTGGCTCCACTTGTCGTTTGCGAACACTAGCGCACCTAGCGGTAGAAGGCATCTTCTGCCTGCAGTTAAGATAGGCAGCATGCTATGGTAGTGTGAGTGCACATAGAAAGTCCGTGTGGAACGCTACCACAAAACATCGCTTGTTGAGCAGAAAAACGGACCACTTTTTGATTCACCGATTTATTTGCACTTCTTCTGTTCTGTGTTCTGACCGAAGCTGGACGTCTGTTCAAAGTTCTTCTATTCACGTTTGATTTGCCCATAGAGTTCTCCAGATGCACAAAAGTGTGCGTGATACCACGGGCTACCTTTTTAAGTAGTTGTGATATCGCGATACCTTTTTGGTTCTTCTTATTCTTCATTTTTATATACGGATGTTGAATTTTAGTGTGAGATTGCGCTTGGAGATCTCTATTATTCGACGAGCAGCGAGTGAAAAAGACGCGTCGTTGAACTGTTTGCAAAATTTTATTTAATTGGTTG